GTGCTTGAGTATGTATGTCCTGAGGACTTTAAACCATGTTTAAAAACTATGTTTGCACTCCTAAGTTCACTGCAGCATTATTCATAATAGCAAAGACATGGAAACAACTTAAATGTTCACCAATAGATGAATGAGTAAATCAAATGTAACCTATATACACTGTGGAATACTATTCAGCCTTAAAAAAGAATGAAATTTGGCTATTTGCAACAACATGGGTGAACCTGGAGGATGTTATATATGTGAAATAAGCCAGGCATGGAAGGTAAAAACTGAATGTTGTCACTTATATGTAGAATCTAACACAATCAAATTCATGGAAGCTGGGAATAGAATAGTGGTTATCAGAGGCTCGGGGCTGGGAGAACAGGGAGATGTTGGTCAAAGGGTACAAAGTTGCAGTTAGATTTAAAATGGTAAGTATTTAAGCTGATGGATGTGTTAACTAGCTTAATTCAATCATTCAACTCTAAACATAACATCAACATGTGCCCCACAGTAATATACAATTATAATGTTAAAAAAAAAAATTAAAAAAAAATAAATAAAATAAATCAACAGTTCCTGCTTCTACTAAAAGTTAAGGAGTGGAAGGGATAATCCTTCAAGTCTTGACAGTGACATCTAACTACACGAATGGCAATTGGTAATAGACACTTCAGAGCAAAAGCATCTTATTTTCAAAATAACATCTCTCACAGAAATTTAGAGATATTTCTCACATAGGCTTACTCATTTTTCTCCTATAGTAAGAATGAGGCCTGGCAGTATATGTTGGATATATTGTACTTTTTTTCACATTCTGGAAAGCTGACAGCTTCAATTGATAAATTATTCTAGGCAGAGAAAAGTAATGCATCTTGACTAAATATTAAATTTATAGATTTTAAGTAGATGAAGAGCATTGCATCTATCAAATTTGACCTTAATATGTTTAAATCTTAGAAGGTTCAATATTTTAAATGTTTATTTCAGGAGCCATGAATGTTCACTTAAAAAAATATGACACTTACATGGTAGCAGACATTATCACCAGGCTTTGTACAAGAATTGATTAAATGTAAAGACAAGAGAGGAAAAACATTTGGAGGGAAGAGGGATATTTGATTTTAATCCTAGTTTGTGCTTCATTGTCAGTGCTAGCAATTCACTTTTGCTGTCTACTTTTTTTCATGGGACTTGAGAAAGGATTATAGGACTTTATGTCATGTCACATCCAAAATTCATTTATAGAGTAAGCCATTGTACTAACACTGGAGTACATAATTCATAACAATAAGAAAAAACATAGACCTCAATTTTCAATAAGAAAAAATAGAAAAACTGGTACATAGAATAAGAAACTCTAATTCATAAGGACCTGAATCATATATATGAAAATACTATTTGTTTGTAGGCCCACAGTTGATGCATATTCATCCCATATTAAGAGATAAGGAGGAGCGATATGATGGACACACCAGGGCTACAGAGTGAGAGACCTGGCTTTTAGTCCAACTTCCTCTGTTACTGTGTAACTTTGGCAGTTAAACTTCGGGAACCTCAGTATTTGCATCTGTGAAGGTAAAAAGACAAACATTATCTGTGAAGTGGGGGCTATGGTGATGACAATTAGCAATATTTTAAGTAGAGAGTCTTCTACAGTGTTTGACACAAAATAGATGTTTAAACAAACAAAACACCGTAGATGTCATCTGCCATGCAGTTTAAGGTAAAGAGGAGATGAGAAAGCCAGATTGAACACAGTGGTAGTCCTGGAGACTAGATAACCAAAGCAAAACAAAGCAAAACAGTTACTGGACAACATGGAGGCTGGTAATGACAGTGAAATCCTGTATTGCTAGCACTTGAAGGGATATATCCAAAATAAATAAATAAATAAATAAAAATTAAAAAGAGAAAAAATAAAGCTAAGTTCCTCCTAGATCCAGAAAACCAGAAAAAATTTCTGAAAGTTAAATGTTAAACATATTCAATGACTATTTAATTCCTCTAAGGAAGACCAGTTATGTAATTAGGGCAAACTCTGACTTTAAGGATGTTACTGAATAATCCCACTACCAGTTCTGACACTTATGGGGTAGGTTATGTTTACCTGGGCAGGTTAACTATCCTTATTCTCTGTTTTCTCCTCTGACAAATAACATTGAGAAATATGTATGAAAATACCAAATGCTGTTAGAGCACTGTTGTGGTCCAATAGAAATATAAGGCAAGCCATAAATGTGAGCTATATATGTAATGTGAAGGTTTCTAGTAGTCACATTTTATTTTATTATTTAGAGACAGGGTATGGCTCTGTTACCCAGGCTAGAGTGCAGTGGTGTGCTCATAGCTTATTGCAGCCTCCCACCTCAGCTTCCCAAGTAGCTAAGACTACAGACAAGCGTTGCAATGCCTAGCTAATTTTTAAAAAACTTTTTGTAGAGATGAGGTCTTGCTGAGTTGGCCTCCAACTCCTGGACTTAATCTATCTTCCTGCTTTGGCCTTCCAAACTGCTAGAATTACAGGTGTACACTAGCCACATTTTAAAATGTAAAAAGGTACAAGTGAAATTAACTTGAGTAATATGTTTTATTTAAATCAATATATGCAGATTATTATTTTATCATGTAATTGATATAAAAGTTATTGCCTCTTTACTGCTTTTTTTCCATCTTTTAAGATGATTACAGTTTTATGGTTTATTTTATTAATAGAGTGTATTAAATTGGTTGATTTTCATATTCTAAGCCAACCTGGTATTCCTGGGATACATTTCATTCAGTTATGGTGTATAATCTTTTTTATATGTTGTTGAACTTGGATTGCAAGTATTTTGTTGAGAACATTGGCATCTATGTTTGTAGGGGTTATTAGTCTGTGGATTTCTTGTGATGTTTTTGTCTGCTATTGGTATTAAAGTAATTAATACTGGTCTCATAGAATGAATTGGGAAGTATTACTTCTTATAGTTTTTTATTAAGAGTATATGAAGGATTGATATTAATTCGTCTTTAAGTCTGTGGTAGAATTGACAAGTAAAGCCATTTGGGCCTAGACATCCCTTGTGGAAAGTTTAAAAATTGTTAATTCAATCTGTATTTGTTATAAGTATATTCAGACTTTTCTTCTTATTTCAGTATGAGTTGTTGGTGTTTGGAAATTTGTTTATTTCATCTAGGTTTTCTAATTTGTTGACATGGAATTGTAGTAGCATTCTCCTTTTTAAAATTATTATTTACTTATTTTTAAAAATTAGTTTTTTTTGTAGAGATGGTGCCTTACTTTGTTATCCAGGCTGGTCTTTAATTCCTGGCTTCAAGCGGTCCTCCTGTCTTGGCCTCCCAAAGTGCTGGGATTACAGATGTGAGCCACTGCATCCTGCCCGTAGCATTCTCTTCTAATCCATTTTACTTCTGTGAGGTTGATGCTGAGGTCCTCTTTTTTATTTCTGATTTTAATAATTTGATTCTTCTTTTATTGTTCAACCTCACTAAAAGTTCATTAATTTTATTGATTTTTTTCAAATAAGTAACTTTTGATTTCATCAATGTTTGCTATTTATTATCTATTTCATTTATTTTTGCTCTAATGTTTATAATTATATTTATTCTGCTTGCTTTGGTTTTAGTTTATTCTTCTTTGGTAGTTTTGTAAGATAGAAGTTTAGATTATTAATTTGAGATCTTCCTTCTTTTCATAAATAAGCATTACAGCTACAAATTTCTCTCTGATTACTGCTTAAGGTCCACCTAATAAGTTTTGGTATGTTGTGTTTTTTGTCTCATTAATCTCAGATAATTTTCTCATTTGCCTTGTACATTTTAAAGCCATTTATTATTTAAAAGTATTTAGATTACTTTTAACATATTTGTGTTTTTCAAATTTATTTGTTGTTGTGACTTTTAAATGTGTTCTGTGGTAGTCAAAGAACATCCTTTGCGTGATTTAAAAGCCTTTCAATTTATTGAGTTTTTTTAACGACCTCTTAACATACATTTTATCATGGAAATTTTTTCCTGTATACTTGACAAGAATGTACGCTCTGCTATATTTTAGAGTTTTCTGTAGATATGTTACATCTAGTTAGTTTATATTGTTGTTCAAGTCTTCAGCCATTATTGGATGCAGGTTATTGATGTTTCCAATTATTACTGTTAAATGTTTATTTCTCCTTTCAACTTATGTATTTTACTTCATGTTTTTGGAGGCTTTGTTGTTAGGTGCATTTATGTTTTTATTGTTTGTCTTCCTGATGAATTGACCCTTTTATCATTATGTCTTTTTTTGACTCGAGTAACAAATCTTGTCTTAAAGCCCATTTTGTCTGATACTAGTATAGCCACTCCATTTCTCTTTTGGATACTGTTTGTATGGTATATAATTTTCTGTCTTTTCACTTTGGACTTACTTATATCTTTGAATCTAGCAGGTCTATTGTAGATGGCATATGATTGAATTGTGTTTGATTCATTCTACATTCTCTGTCTTTTGACTGGAGAGAGATATGCATTTTTATTAGAGAAATGATACAGTCATTATTTGATAAATTGTACATTCATTGCTTAATAAAAATTAGTTGATAAGAATTAACATACTTATATTCCTTTTATAATTGATGAATTGCATTACTTGTGTTAGATCTATATTGTTTAATATCCTTTCATAATCTGTCTTGTAGGATTCATTTTATAACTTATTTCTCAATGTTTGTGGGTTTCTTTGTTTTTTTATTTTTGAGATGGAGTCTCTCTCTGTTGCCCAGGCTGGAGGGCAGTGGTGTGATCTCAGCTCACTGCAACCTCTGCCCCCTGGATTCAAGCAGTTCTCCTGCCTCAGCCTCCCATGTAACTGGGATTATAGGCATCCACCACCATGACCAGCTAATTTTTGTATTTTTAGTAGAGACAGGGTTTCACTGTGTTGGTCAGGCTGGTCTCGAACTCCTGACCTCAAGTGATACAGCTGCCTCAGCCTCCCAAAGTGTTGGAATTGCAGGCATGAGCCACGGTGCCCAGGCTCAATGTTTTAATAATATTTTTTTCCAATGCAAATTAACACATTTGTTTAAATTGAAAAATAAAGGCAGAATTTTTCTGGAAGGAAAGTACAATTTGGCTTATTGATTTTCAAGTATATGTAGTACACATGTTCCTTTAATTGAGCTAAATATGAAGCACCACAGTTTTGATTTTATATAAATGTATCAAATTCAAGGGCAAAGTATAATGCAAATGTGAGTTCAAAGAGAAAAAAATTTAAAATTAAAAAATCTAATAAAAAAAGAGTCATGGATATCGAATTGTTATGATTTTCAGATTTCATTGAATACATTAAAAAATAATAGTAATTTAAAGTGATAAAATCAAATATATACTGAAATTACATCCTTTGCAATAATTATTTCAACTTATAATATTTTTAGAGGACTTAAGATGTATAAGACATTTAAAAGTGTTCAAATATACAAGCTATTTATTGAAAAATACACAGTTTCTTTAGGTAATTCTTAAGGGAAAAAGTTTGAAGAATAGATTAGAGAACAAAAATCCTCCAAACTCATAGTCTCTAGCTGCCTTAGTTACTACTATATTCCCAGTAGTAACTATATTCCCAATCACAGCCTTGTGACTGAATGAGTGAATTGTGTTAAGTGCCCTGAATGGTATTATTGCAAATTATTTGCTGCCTAAAAAAAGGACAACCCAGGAGGCCAATGTTTTCCTACCTAGGTTAGGTAATTAGTTAGTAGGTAGAGATTTGGGTCTTGATGTAAATGGGGAAAGGAAAGCAATCCCTACAATCCTGACTGTCTTCCAGACAGCCCTGGATGGCTACGTTTACCTTTGGCAGACCCCAAATAATGAGAGTAAGATTAAGACCTAGACTTAAGATAGCTTAACAAAGTGTTAAGATCCAAACACGCATTCCTTGGAGTATCTACTTCTTGTCTGGCACTTTGTGAGGTTCTGGGCATGGAAAGATGAAGATGACAGGTACATGGGCAATATGCTTAAAGAAAAAGGTCTGATGAAATGGGATAAATGCCATAAGAGGAACATTTCATGTTATAGGTTCGAGAACTGGAAACTACAGTTATTTGACCACTTTTGACCTACACAAACTGGTAACCCACATGGTTCAACCTACATGTTATATGCAAATCCAGGTGAAAGAACAATAAATCTTGAGGGATTTTTTAATCAGGGAAAATTATGTGCAGTTGGTGGCATTTGAGCTGTACATTGAAGGGTAAGGGAGAAGATGAGTGGTTGGATAGGTAGCAGGTGGGGCATTTGAGAGAGCATAATCAACAAAAGCAGAAGTGGAGAGTAATGGAAGGTACAGATACCATCTGGAAACGGACACTGAGCATTCTTTGCGTTGAGATCTGGAAAGTGAGGATAAGAATAAAAAGGAACCTCAGACTTATGTTAAGAGTGCTGCCAGCCCAATAAGACACTGTTCTGCAAGCAATGGCAAACCATTGAAACTTTTCTTAGAGGAAGTATTGTTAACAGATATAAATTTTAGAACACCCCATTTGTCTGAATGGGGAATGGGTTGCAGATAAGGAGATTGAAACGAGACACTGAGATACTTAGGAGGCGGCTGCAATCGTTAAGGTAAATATAATAGATGTGTACAGGGGTTGAGGAGTAGGCATGTTTCTCTGATGTAATTGTCATAGATTGACCAATTATTAGGCTTGAAGGGTTAGTCGAAAGAGGTACAGGGTCAGGAATGGGGGGAAAGAGTAAACTAAGTAGAGATACCAGAGAGTAAGAGTAGAGAGTTCTGGGCTATGGATCTTGGTTTTTGTTGGTGTGCATTTGATAGCCGAAGCCATGAAAATGTATGGGATTATCAGGCAAACTTACCTAGGGAGAGCAGGGAAACAGAATAAGGGCAAAAGGGCAGAGGAGGGAGCTAGGGATGAATCTGTACCTTGTACTTTGCCTCATTATATTTCTGTCATAGCACTTGTTTACCTAAGTGTCTACTTTTTGCAAGTTTGTGAGATCTCCAAAGATGGATAGGAACCATCTTATCCATTCTTTGGAATTCTCAAATCTCCACTATACTCAAAAAGTAGCCACTTAAAGAAGTACTTACTGGATCATACCCTTATTTTCTAGGTACTAGGCATTGTTCTAAGTGCCACATAGGTGCCATTCCATTTCACATTTAATAATAGCTTTATAAATAGATGCTATTGTTAGTCCTATTTTACAGATGAGGAAACTGAAGCATGAACTCATTCAAGGACACAAAGAGTGAGAGCCTGGATTTAAACTCAGACAGTCTAAAACCAGAGGCCACTGAGTACTAAAGCCTATGCTATGGAATGAGTGGGATCAGAGTGACTTCTCTTTAGTAAAACTTTGCAGCTTAGAATTACTTTTATAAACAATTCTAGTATCCTCAAAGTAATTTTGTAAGATGGAGGGAGGAGGCAATACTATTATCTACATTTGATTTGTGGGTAATTGAAAGCTAAAGTTAAGTATATTCGTGAAGACACACAGTAAGTGGCAAAATCACCCTTTTATTATGAATTACATTCCTGTGTTCTGTTCACGCCATCTTGTTTCCTGCGAATCCAGTTGTCTCCCCTGTTGCTCAACAAGATAAAATGCCTGGGCTGGTAGCTGGAGGCTGGAGGAAGAATCTGAAGAGAGACACTGTGGAAAAGGCACGGAAAGACCTTTGAACTAGCAGAACATATTTCTTTGAGGGACTTGGGAACTTCATTTTTGTAAAGACTACAAGATGTCAAACTTACTTGTGAATTCTAACATAGTCTCTTTTATTAATAATCGAGAATGCTTGAAATTTAGGTACAAACAATGTATTAAAATGATTGGTTTGTTGGTTGTAAATGTAAACAGAGATAATTTATTAACTTGTTATTTATTCATCCTTGTTGAGGACATACTGTAATGTTTCCTTAGGCGTAACATCAGCGGTCCCTGTACTGTCTAAAGGCTTCAGTCTCTTTGGAGCCTTCTGTAGTTCATTTGCTGAGGAGGATAAGATTTACCCTCTTCATAGGAGAATGGAAACAAGAATGATGGATTCTCAACTCCTATAGGCATTTATTTTACCTAATCCTCTACCACACATAGATTTTCTTTTCTTTTTTTTTTTTTTTTTGGATGGCTAGTCTTTTAACTAGGAGCAACTCACAAAAGATTTTAAAGGAAGTAAAAATGAGATTGATAATAAGCTTTATACTTGCGTTCAGCTCATTTTAGTTCAGAAAAAAAAAGTCACTGTACATCTGACAGATACTGCCTTATTTGAAATTTCTAAATCTTAGGCAAGTTTGTCCTGCCATTTCTCTGCCATTACACAAGATTGGTTATCTTGCCAAGTTTCACTATTACTAATATAGACTCTGAAGCAACAAGTATTACAGTGGATTTATTGAAGAGAAATATCCTGTTTTGTAAGTTAAATGTAGATTTGTTTATTCATATAAATGGTGAAAGTGTATTTTCTCTATGGCCAATATGTTTAGGCCCTTAACTTATAAAATAAGCAATGTTATGGAAATTAAAACAGAGGTACCTATATTATTCTTGTTTAGGAAAGGATGGAAGAAAGGAAGAAAATTCAGTAATTCTTTCCTATAATATTCACATTTATAATATTAACTATTAACAATTTATAATATAAAATATTAATATTTATATAGTTCTATGTGCAAGGCATTATTCTGAACATTCAGTCCTCTTTTCAAGTCCATGATAAGTATTAGTGTTGTCTTCATTACAAAGGCTAGTGAACTAAGTCACAGAGGTGTTAGACAGCTTGCCTGAAACCACAGAGCCAGTAGTAGAAACACTATCCCAGAGTTCTTGCTCTTAATTTACGGTGCTGAAATTGTTGTGGGTCTCATGATTTTGACTCCTCTAAACTGGAGAAGACTTCCAAGAGGTGGTGACAGTTTAGAAGATCTTTGCTTTTTTGTGAGGATATGTGGTATTTGGTTTTCATATTTTGTTTGTTTGTTTGTCTGTTTTTGAGACAGGTCTTCCTCTGTCACCCAGGATAGACTGCAGTACCATAATCTCAGCTCACAGTGGCCTCTGCCTTCCATGCTCAAGTGATCCTGTCACCTCAGCCTCCTAAGTGAAAATCTTTGAAAGATGGGAGTGAATCTATAAAAATGTAAAGCTAGAGAATTTCAGTATTTGAAAGTAAACTTCTGATTCTTACTGAAATCCATAACAGTGTTTCTTCATGAAGCAGAGATGTGATGCTGCATTGAGTTTATGAGAAACTGATTACTGAGTGCCAGCGTGGTTTTTCTGTTGATATTATTGAAACCAGGGGCCACAGATTTTCATTTATACATTCATGTGCATTATTGGTGTCCTTCCTCTAGGTCATAAGCTCTACAAATGGATGTTGTTTCTTCTTTCTTCCTTCCCTCCCTTCCTTCCATTCTCTAAGTCAGTGAAATCAGTTAAATGAGCCAGGCCTTGTGCCAGGGGCTAATGAGTAAGTAAGTAAGTAAATAACTAAATAAATAAAGACAAGTGCTCTGGCCTTTACAGAGGCTTAATGATGGTTTTAAATGGCCCTCTGTTCATGTTGTAAGCAGGTAAAAAAGAGGGAATTGTTACTTCAACCTGGGGTGTTGGGGAAAGGCTTCAATGGAAGAGGTTAGTACTTGAGTTGAATCTTAAAAGATGTGTAGGTTGGGGGTGAGATGGTCAGAGGGAAATGGGAAGAACATTCTAGGAAGAGGAATCAGCAAGATTAGCCAAGCCTTGGAGGAGACAAATAGTAGGACATGTTATAGAAAGGGAGGAGGGCATTGCCTAGAGGGAGCAAAGGGGTGAGGTGAGGCCGTTTGAGCAAGGCTGGAGAAGTAGGGAAAGTCAAGCCAGTTGAGACAGAGGCATTCATCACTGAAAATCCACTTCCCGGACCTACATCTAACATAGAACCTTTATATGGTTATCATGATTTGAACATTCCCAGCAGTTTGTATTGTAGTTTCTGAGATTCAGGGCTTCAGGGATGCTAGATACTTTTATTAACATATTCTATGATGTTTTATATTGGTCCTGGCAAGATTAACATATTGTTTTCTATGATGACAAATAACTAATATGAAATGAGGATCAATTTGATCTTTCATATAAGGCCTAGAGAATGTTTTTTCACAATTACCCCAGACCTAGAGGGTCTTTGTTTGCCCAACAGCCAGTGTTGGATCAAATTCATCATTTGCTTAAAGTCATCCAGTGGGTTCGTTGCCCTAGCCTACAAGGCCCTGTATGTTCTATCATCAACTCATACCACTCAACCCCTCACACATGCTCAACTACCCTAGTCATTTAGTTCTTCAAATCCTCAAAGCTTTGTTCTGACTTAGAGTTTCTGTGCTTGCTGCTGCTTTGGCCCAGCTGACTCTTCTCCCAACTGCATGGCTGGCTCCTCATCTTTCAAATTTCATCTAAGATACATTTCCTTCTAGAGACCTTCATGGGCTGTCCTCTCTGAAGTATCCTCCTTCTCAGGACATCCTTTATTTCCTTAGGAGCATTTATTACCAATATGTAAGATTTAATTTATTCATTTATTGTCTATTTCATTTGAATATGAGATCAATGCTACACTCAGATATGCCCTGTTTGACTTATTCTCAGCTAATTACTTAGCATGTAGTACAAAATATGCTCACAATAGAATTTGTTTTAGTTCTATGTTAAATGAATATAAATGTCATGAATGTTTAATATGCAGTAACAAAACATAATAATCTCTCTATGAGATTTTACTAGAAAAAGCTAGACTAATCATTCCCAAATTGTATTTCATGTAGTAATAAGAGGAAAATAAACAAGAGTGAAATTATGCTGTAAAGATTCTGCTATTGTTGTTAAGTAAGTCTAGTTATAAACAAGAAAAACGCCATACTTTATATGTCTACCATTATTGTTCCAGACAAAATGGTGGAGAGCTAAAAGCATTCTCAGCCAAAGACTGCAGCTATAAAGGCATGGAAATGGAGACAGTATGGTGGCTTGGAGTAAAATCAGTAAGTATGGTTGGAAGAAAGTGACCAATAAAATATTTGAACAAGTTGACAGGTTTAAATGATGGAGAGTTTTATATACATACAAAAGCATTTGGACTTTATGGGGAATGTGAAGCTCTGTAGGACAAAACAGCTTTCAATGGGAAAATAATTGTGGTCCAATTTGTATTGAAAAACTATTTTGTGCCCAATATGGCAAATGGCTTGGAGGGAAATGAGATACAAATCAGATAATCCAGTCAGAAGACTGTTACAATAACCTAAGAGCAAGATGGCAGGTCAGGCTTGAAATGAGATGGCACTAAGGATGAAGGTGAACACACTGGTCTTTGCTATTAGTGAAATAGCAAAAATTCTTGGAATGATTTCCATGAGGTTCCAATCGAATACTGTTTACAGTTCTGGCTTATATCTTCTATCTATGAGGTTTCAAATGAATTTCCATGTTGCATATCAGTTGGCCTCATATCTTCCTTTTTTTGACAAGTACATCTTAAAGAAAACCATTACACTGTAGAGCATTCATTGTGAGGATTAAAATAAATGTACGTGAAAGCACTTTCAAAATACTATACAAATGGAAGCTATATTTTTATTACCAGTAAGTCAATTTAGTTTACGAAGAGAAGAATCACTTTCTAGCATGTAAGCTCTGGTAAGCAAACTCCCTAGGCAAAATGAATCTTTCTTATAACCATAGCACTTTTTTGTACTTCTATCATAATACCTCCACCAATTATAAATTGTTTATGGATTTTTATTATTTTCATGGTGTATAAATCCTTTGGTGGCTGAGACAGAGGAGTTTTATGAATCATGCACCCTGGTTTGACTACTTACTACAGTAAGTAGTCAGCAAATGTTAATTGCATGCATGAATGAATGATTAGTTCACAGGAAAGGATAAAGGCAGGTAGCAGGGAGCTGTTATAGGCATCAGAGATAAAATAAACAATAGGGCAAACATGTTAAAGTGAAAATATTTAGTGTGACTAATGATCATATATTTAATTTTAGTCAAGATATGTATAGTGTATATAGTGTATAAGTATATATATCTTGTAGACTATACTACAAGACTATATAGTATATATAGTGCCAGAATACTCTATCAACTTACTGTATGTAAAGTTATTTTGGAATAATTAGCATTATTACATTATTATTCTAGCATTATTCCAAAATAACTTTACATACAGTAAGTTGATAGAGTATGATACCATTGTAATATTGAATTAGTTTATCCATTCATTCAGCAAATCTGTTTCTAATGCCTGATAAGTACAAAGCACTGTGCAGAAATATTCCTATTCTCAAGAAGTTTGCTATGCAGTGGGAAGGAGAGGAGGGCCTGCTCCCTGCCAAACACTGTCCTAGGAGTTTTGCACACTACCAATGAATTTTCTCTACAGTTTTAACAGTCCTGAGAGGTAAGCATTATTACACCCATATTATAAATAAGAAACCTCAGTTAAGAGAATTTCATTAATTTAGCTGAGACCACACAGCTAGGAAGGGGCAGAGGCAGGTCGATGGATAACAAGGAAAAACGTCAAGGTTATTTCTCATTTCAGTGTCTGTATCCATTGCAGTCATTCTGAAATTAACAAATAGTAAGGGAAGGCAAACAAGGACAGATGCATAAAATTATAACAACTCATAACGAGCTTTATCCTCATGGAACTATTGGCTTAGTAGTACGATTTAGGAAAATGAATACAGTCATAAGGTGGAATCCTAACCAAAGATGGTCAGATCATTGGGGTAAACAGCTCTCAGAAACTGAGCAGCTTCTAGGTGTGATATGAAAGTATTCTGGGCTTGGAGGCCCAGAAGATCACTATGTAAGACATCACTGCAATTCTAGTTATGTGGTGGGAAAGACACTGAAATTTCTTGACCACACCACCCTAATTTGTTAAATATAAGACATAATAGGAGAGATTTCTACCTTATTTTAAGAATTAATGGGTGGAGGTATGGGAAAGCAGTTTCTGAAATGCATTACAAATTTATGATTAAGACAGCCAATTTCACAGAAACAAGTTTTTGGTATAAGAGCCATCAAATAGGAGAAAGCATAAAGAAGTGACTTATACATTCTTATCCCTAGTAATATGGTGTCTGTTACACAGTAAGTGCTTAATAAATACTTTCTGAGCTTAGCTCCTGAATGGCTGAAAGACACATGGGAAAATCAAATTATCTCTCTTCAAGTGATTGGGAAGACATGTTATACCCAACTTCTTGTAACTATTCAACATACCAAACAGTTGTCAATAAATATTATAATTCGAAGCGCTGATTAAATTGGGTCTTCTTTATCCATTTGGTTGTTTGAGATGCATATGTACGTATGTATGTGTTGCAGAGATGTATGTACGTATGTGTTGCAGAGATATAGGTACATGACTGTATGCGTCTAAAAGAATATACTTGGGGGTTCTGGTGAACTGTCATGTTTGTTTGGTTTTGTTAAGTATCTATTCCTTTCTATTGGTGAGTGTTGGAAGTATCCAGCACAATTAGGGGCTAGAGTAGTACCATATATTTTCCACAGATATTTATATTTCAGCAGCTATTACAGAGATATGTTAGAGGGATAAAGCTTAAGCCTGGTAGTGCTATACATTAGCCAGAGGAGAATTTATTTGAGGAAGGCTGGTTTATTTAGCATTATCAAACTACATATTCATAGTTAATAATCTGCCTACCAAAAACACCTTTAAATTAGATAGGTGAGTAGACATACACATGCCTTTGCTAAGAATATGGTCAGTTCTCACCTACAAATCTTAATCTTGTAAGGAATAACAAAAATAAGATTACTAGACATTATAAGAAGTCTTTATTCTACTTTAACATTTCATTCAATGCCATTTAAAAGTGTTTTTTATAGTAAGATGTTATTAAGAATAAATGTTTAGAACCTCTGCTTCCTTGAAGATAGAGTAGATTATTTGCGCCTCTTTCTCCTACTAAGGACAACAAATAACCCTGAATATTATATACAAAGTAAAATTCTAAAAGTCCAAAAGGTAAATAAAAGAAGAGTAACTGTCTAGGCATCTTGGAACCCAGGGACAGTAAGGCCATTTGGTTTCCTTTTTGCCTTGTATATCCCAGAATTGGAGCTGGAGAAACTAGAACTCTGTAAATGCTAACAGATTCAAACAAACAACAAAACCCCCCCAAAAAAGCCTGCTCTCTGTAGAAAAAAAAGAAAAAAGAGGAAAATGGCAGTCTAGCAATACAGAAAACTTTAAATGATAACCATCCTATTCCAGCCAAATACTACAGGAAAAGAAAATGTGGTCCAGCCATCAGCTATGGCAGCAAAGACCAAGTGGATTACCTAGAGCTCCACTCTTGCTAGGCTGTAACAAAGTGTTTTCCCCAGCACCCTAAACGTACCTGAATGATGTTAGATGGTATTGGATGGTGTTACTGTAGGAGGCCAAGTAGAAAGCTAGTACTTTCATTCTTGTCAAGAAGTAATGAAGCCCCCACTCACAATGTCAGTGGAAACCACTTGCGAACCTGGATTTCCACCTGCACCCTGCAGTAATTAGGTTCTACTCCCTCCCTCTGCTGAGCTAATGTCAGAGGATACCTAATGGAGAATCTGGATTTTTGCTAGTGTTCAGTGGTAATGAGGCCATGCAATCCCTGTGGTGACATTGGAGGATGCGGGAAGCAGTGATGAGTCATTTGTACTCTTATCCAGGGTGGTATCAGGGGAGGGCTAATGGGGAGCTGAGACTCCCACTTCCTCTCAGTAGTGCCATGGAGCCCTGTGTTCTTCTCAGTTATCAACAGGGGCCAAGTGAGGAACCTGGACATCTATCTCTACATGGAAGTAATGAGTCAATATCCACTTCTGCTGCTGCCAGAGTGATACCACAGATAACTAACAAAAGTATAAAGCTAAAATAAAATCTGGAGTTCCTTAACAAAATACCCAAAATGTCTAGGTTCCAGTCGAAAATGATTCATTATACCAAGAACCAGGGAAATCTCTCTTAAATGAATAATAACAGCGAATGTCAACACTGAGATGACAGAGATGTTAAGAGTTGAGGAGTTTTCAACCATTATTTTTTCAGTTCTGCCCTTTTTCTCCTTCCCATATTCTGATGACATGAATGTTAGAGCTTTTATTTTAGTCATAAAGGTCCTCCAGTGTCTCTCTTTTTTTCGGGATGCTCAGATTGCATAATTTTCATTGTTCTCTTTCAGTGTACTGATTGTCTTTTCCCATTTATCTGAAAAAGTTAGAACAAGTATTATAAAAGATGCTTCAATGAGCAATTATAACATGCTTGAAACAAATGAATAAAATAGTCTCAGCAAAGAAATGGAAGCTGTAAATAAACTCAGATTATAGAACAGAAAATACAGTAACAGAAATTTAAAAACTCAGTGGATGGACTCAACAGCTAAATGAAAGAACAGAGGAAAGAATCAGTAAACTGAAAGAAAGAATAATAGAAATTATACATTCTCAACAATAGGAAATAAACTTAGAAATTGAACAGAGACTCAGGACTTATATGACTATATCAAAAGACCTAATATTCAAATCACAAGACTAATGGAACCAATAGGATGTAATCAACCTTTACAGAACACTCCCATCAATAACAGAATGCACATTTTTGTCCATGGGACATATGCCAACTTAAATCACACTCTGAGTGATAAAATGAACAACAAAAATCCAGTCATCCAGAGCATGTTCTCTGACTACAGTGAAATCGAAGTAGAAATTATTTTTAAAAATAACAGTAAAACCTGCAGTCCCTTTAAAACTAGACAACTTACTTCTAAATAACCTTTTAGTCAAATAAGAACTCTCAAGGGAAATTTTAAAAAATACATTGAACTGAATAAAAATAAAAATAAAAATAATACATATCAGAATTTGTGGGATGCAGCTAAAGCAGTACTGAGAGAAAAATGTATAGCACTAAATGGTTACAGTGGAACACAGGACATATTTCAAGTTAATAGTCTTAGCTTCTATTTCAAGAAACTAAAAGAAGAATAAGGCAGGCAGAAGAAAGGAAATAATAAAGATAAGAGTAGAAATTAACAAAATTAAAAAATAGAAACAGAAAAAGAAACAGCTGGTTCTTGCAAATTTCTAGCAAGATTGGCAAAAAAGAAGATACAATTTACCAATATAAAAAAAGAAACAACTGTTATCACCACAAACCCTGAAGACATTAGATAATAAGTGAATATATGAACAACTCCACATAGAAACATTTGATAACAGATAAAATGGACCAATTTCTCAAAAGGCAAACTCTCAACACACCCAATAAGAAACAGATAATTTTAGTAGACCAACAACTTATAAAAATTTAATTTGTAATTTTAAAACTATTTGATATGGTTTGACTCTGTGTCCCCAACCAAATCTCGTTGAATTGTAATCCCTAATGTTGGGGGAGGAACCGGGTGGGAGGTGATTACATCATGGGGGTAGATTTCCTCCTTGCTATCCTCATGATAGTGAGTTCTTATGAGATCTGGTTGTTTGAAAATGTATAGCACTTCGCCTTCTCCCTCTTTCTATTCCTCCTTCTCCTACATGTGGAGATGTGTTTGCTTTCCCTTTCCTTCTGCTATGATTGTAAGTTTCCTGAGGTCTTCAAGTCATGCATCCTGTACAGCCTGTGGAATTATGAGTCAATGAAACCTCTTTTCTTCATAAATTACCCAGTCTCAGGTATTTTATAGCAGTGTGAGAATAGACTTAATTCATCCCCTAAAAAGAAATATCCAGTTCCAGATGGTTTCACTGAAGAATTCTACCATATAGTTGAAGAAGAATTAATACCAATTCAGCACAGTCTAGTCTCTCTAGAAAACAAACTAGAACTACTTCCTAATTAAACTTATGAAGCTAACGGTATTTTGAAATGAAAACTCAAAAGAAATACAGAAAAAAGAAAACTATAGGTAAATATCCCTCATAAACAAAAATGATTTATAAAAAATTAACAAATATAATGCAATAATATATCAAAATAATTATACTTCATGACCAAAATAGATTTATTTTAAGGATGCAAGTCAGGTTCAATATTGAAAAATTAGCCAATGTATCCCATCATCTTACCAAAGGAAAGAAGGAAAAAAACACACAATCATGTTAGTTGATGCAAAATAAAATAAAAAACATTTGGCAGACTTCAGCATGTATTTATTATAAAAGCAATCATAAAAATAGAAATATAGGATAACTTTCTCAGCTTATGTAAAAAATTATAAAAAAATCTACAGCTTAGCATTTTACTTAGTGATGAATTACTAAATTCTTTCCCCTTAAACTGAGAAAAATACATGATGTCTGCTTTCATCATTCTTATTATACATAATACTGAAGTTCTTTCTAGTAGTTGCAGTTAAGGCAAGAAAAGAAAAAGACATACACATCAAAAAAGAAGAAATACTACTTTCACTATTTGTAGAAGACATAGTTGTCTATATAGTAAACCTCAAAGAACTGATTTTAAAAACTCTCCCAAAACTCATCAGTAAGTTCAGAAAGATTACAGGATACCATATAAACAGACAAAAATCAATTGCATTTGCATATGCTAGCAATGAACACACAGACATCAAAATTAAAAGTATGATAACATTTACAATTGCTCCAAAAATTAAATACTGAGGTGTAAATATAAAAAATATGTACAGGAGTTGCAAACTGAAAACTGCAAAATACTGATGAAAGAGATCAAAGAATTTCTAAATAAATGAAGAGACATACTATGTTCATGGATTGGAAGACTCAACATGATAAAAATGTCAATTCTCCCCAGGTAGATAAACAAATTTAATAATATTGTCATCAAAATTCCAGCTATATTTTTTGTACATGCAGACAAGATTATTCTAACAGTAATATAGAAAGGCAAGGGAACTAGAATAGCTAAAACAATTGTGAAAAAGAAGAATATAGTGTGAGGAGTCACTCTGCCCAAGTTCAAGACTTATGTAGCTATAGTAACCAAGACTGCATGTTATTGGTGGAAAGATAGACATACAGATCAAAAGGACAGAATAGAGAATGAATATAAAGAGACAACATAAATATGTCCAGCTGATTTTTATTATTTTTAAATTTTTAAGTAAATTTTTTGTAGTTTAGATGTTTGAGTTCCTTGCGTATTCTGAATATTAATCTTTTGTTGGGTGAGTGTGTGCAAATATTTTCTCTCATTCTGTAGATTGTCTTTTCACTCTGCTGATTATTTCCTTGGATGGGCAGAAGATTTTTAGTTTGATTTCATCACATGTGTCTATTTTTGCTTTTGTTGCCTGTGCTTTTCAGGTTTTATTTGTAAAATATTTTTTCTAGATTAATGTCCTGAAGCATTTCCTTGTTTTATTTTAATAGTTTTATTATATTGAGTCTTACATTGAGTTCAAAATGGTGGTCTAGTTTCATTCTTTTGCATATGGATATACAATTTTCCTAGCACCATTTATTGAAGAGTGTCCTTTCCCCAAAGTATGTTCTTGGCAGTTTTTGACACAGATGGAAAAACAATTCATAGATGGAATTATAACCTTTTCAACAAATAGTGTTAGAGCAATTGTAATTTATAGGCAATAAAAATGAGCCTCAACCTAAACTTCACATGTCATACAAAAATTGATTTAAAATTCATTAGTATTTAAACACAAAACTTAATCTTTTAGAAGAGAACATAAGAGAGAAGCTCTGTGACCTAATCTTGGGTGAAGGGTTCTTAGATATCACACCAAAAGTAAGATTCATAAAAGAAAAAAATGGATAAATTGGACTTCACCAAAATTAAAAACTTTTGCGTTGAGAATGACACTAAGGGAATGAAAAGACAAGATACAGTCTGGTGACAATATTTGCAAACCACTTGCCTGACAAAAGGGCCAACATATAAAATACATAAAGAACTCTCAAAATAAACAAAACCTGATTAGCAAATGGGAAAATACCAATTAAAGTCATCATAAGTTGTCACTACATACCTGTCAGAATGTGACAAATAAGAAATTATGACAATACCAAATGCTATTGAGAATGTGAAGAGACTGGATCTCATTTATGTTGCTGGTGGTATGTAAAGTGGCACAGTCACTCTTGAAAACAGGTTGGCAATTTCTTTATAAACTAAATATGCAGCTATCGTATCATTCAGCAATTCTTCTTTGAGGGAGTTATTCAGGGAAATGAAAACTTATTTTTACAGAAACTTGTGCGTAAATATTCAAGGAAGCTTAATTTATAATAGGCAGAACTGGAAACAACCCAGATGTATTTTAATAGATGAATGGTTAAACAAACTGTGATACATCCATGTTTATTCATCATCTATTTGGTGTCACAGGACTCAACCAAGTGCTTAAATACATTTGTGATTAAATCTCAGAAGGTAAAAATTATTATCCTAATTTTGTATATGAGAAATTTGAGATTTAGGGAGTTTAAATACTTTAGCCAATGTCATTCAGGGCAAAGGCCAGAATTTTCAACCTGGGTTCATAGGATTCCAAAACCCATTTATATTCCACCACAGGAAGCTGCCTGGAAAATTAGGTGAGGGACTATGTGTGCTTGTTTTGCTTTGTAATCTGGAAGGATATAACTAATTGTGTTATACCTTGTCTCAGGACTACTTCTGTCATTAGATTTTCAGCACAAAGAGATTGCATAAGAACAGACTTTCTTTTTCAGTAATTTCCATTCAGTGCATTTACCCAGGCATCTGCAAAGTCACGGCATTTGATGAGACTTCTCCAAGAAAAAGAATGGGCTTTAATTCTCTTCTGTTGACCCATTTAACCAAGTAACATAACCAAATCTTGTTCTTTGTCATAATTAGGTTTGCAACCTCATTTGTGGAGCCTAAAACACTCATTTACTCACATAGCTGCCAGAAATGGTTAACAATGCATTTCCTTGTTATCAGAGTCAACTAAAACACAACCATTGAGGTCCACAATTATGGAACAGGCATGGCTGAAAATGTAGACATATCATCACATTTTGGATCCAGAAGAAATTATTCAATTGGAATAACCACCTCATTTTGTAGAGGCAGAATAAGTTGTCCAAGTCACACATATGTGGTTAAAATTAAAACAAGAGTCTTAGATTTCTCCTGAGGCTCAAATCTGGGTGTTACCAGAACTTCTTTCTATGCTTCATACTTTAAATTCCAGTTGCTATTTGTTTCAAGTTTTACAAGAGCAATTTTTGTTTTGTGAAATATCATGAACAAAATACCTAATTATTTCTTTTAAAAGCCAAACAAATTTCAAGATCCCTATACTTAGAAGGAATGGCAGCTGCAAAGTAAAATGAAGGTACCTAAAATATTATGATTCCAGGATTCCAGGAATTGCAAACATGGTGTAGCTGGAAAAACATAAAAATTGGAGCTAGAACCCCTGAGTTAGATGACTTGCTATGTTACCTGAGCAGCTCTGTGTTTAAGCCATGCCTCTTAATTTTGATTCCTTAATAAATTCTTATTTGGTGCTTACTTTATATCTTGCATTTTCCTTGGCTCTGGAGAGGAGATTCAATGATAATCACAGTAATAAAAATCCTGCCTTTACCTAATTTGGAGTGTTGATACATGAGAGAAATTAGATGGTAGATGTGAAAACTTTTTGTAAAGTGTACAATTCTGTAAAAATTAGATATAACATGACACCGTTTTCAATTGCCAGTGTATGATAGCATAGATGGAGCTTTGAAGATATTGAAAGCTCCTGAGCATAAAGAAAAAATACACTTATATTATAAGTTTGTGACATCTTGAAATTGGATAGAATGCTTAATAATAAATGTTTACTATGTGACAATCACTTATTTATAATCTCTGTTCTCCTTTCAAATGTAAATACATAAAAACTGTATCATTTTTTACTACTATTATTCTAGGTCTTACAATAGTAAGCACACACCATGCACCAAATATTTGATGAACAAGTTAATAAATTAATACTTTTTGTGTATATATGGAATTAGTGGATGTAAGATTATGTAAAGTCTTGATAGATATTGTAAATTCCTCTTCCAATAATTGATTCTACCGATTTATTTTTAATTATCTAATTTATTAAAAAATATACTGAGTGCCTGTATATTTTAAGCCCTTTTGTATCTGCCTAGCATGTTTTTCTTCTGGGAATAACAGTCCCTTCCTCTGGGAATTATGACTTCCCTCATCCTTCTGCTGAGAGCAGCCAAGTTAATGGGAACTCATCTTCTGATGCAGTGTGCTGGGTCAGGAGTGAGTCCAGACTCAAGCTGCGCCAATCACAACCACATCTCTGAGGTCATCAATTATTGGTCCAGGAGTATTCATTGGATTGAATCAGGTTGAGAAACTGACTTCTTTGGAATTTTGGGGCGCAGGAAACTTGTGACTTGAATCAATAATTTTCTGATGGTTGAAGCTATTAAGGACTTTAAACTCAGAATTTGTTGGTTGCTGTTTTTCACCAAATGAACAGTTAGTTGTCACCAAGACAGAGAAGTATGAAGCCCATACCCCGAGAAGATCCCCCAAGATTAAGTCCAAATGTAATTTGAGTGCCTAGTTCCCAGTTCCTGCAGTGAAACTACGTGAGCAGTGTTAAGATTCAGGAAATATCCCAATCTCTTCATGATGATAATAGTAAACAGTAATAATTTGCTTTAAAAAAATTAAGTTAGTTCAAATGGTCTTTCCCCATTTTTTGGAACCAAGCATCATAATAGTGAAGCTTACTACACAAGCAGACACCTTGACTCAATGTACTCTCAAGTAGTATATCCATTTTCCCACATATTTACCTATAAGGGATGTTATCAATATTTACATTGTTGCGTTCATATGATGAGTAAAAACAGTGGAATCACTTATTTGTTTTAATTTGTGTTACTTAAGAAGCAGCTAAGCTGAGAATGTTTTCAGGTCTTTATTGGCTATTTATAATTCTGTGAATTGCTGATATATAATATTTGGTCATTTTTTCTCTGGTGTTGTATTTTTCTTATTAATTTGCAGAAACTTTCTAAGTAAAATGGCTATTAATCTTCATTATGTTCATTGCAACTATGTTTTCCTGGCCTTTTATATGCTCATATACATTTGTTTATGCTATATTTCATCACGGAGATGTTAATTATTTTATGTATTCAAATCTATTACACTCTTTCTTTAGGATTCCTGAATTTTTTTTCTTGTTTAGGAGCATTTGTCCACCTTCTAAATTATTTTCAAAAATCTAAATTTGCTTTTTAAACATCTTAGTTTATTTTCTACCTTTCATTTTATGTTATTTCAGTCACTGTACTTTGCTCTTTTCATATGAAATTTAATGAATACTTTGCAAGATAAGTATTGTTATCTCTATTTTCCAGATTATGGCAAGGAAAATGAGGTTCAGAAAGTTGTTCAGGTCATACATGATAAATGCTGCTATTCTGGCGGCAAACCTCATAGTAGTTGATATGATTTTGCTCTGTGTCACCATCCAAATCTCATCTTGTAGCTCCCATAATTCCCACAAGTTGTGAGAGGGACCTAGTGGGAGATAACTGAATCATTTGGGCTGGGTCCTTCCCGTGCTGTTCTCGTGATAGTGAATGGGTCTCATGAGATCTGTTGGTTTTAAAAACAGGAGTCTCCCTACAGGAGCTTTCACTTTGCCTGCTGCCATCCATGTAAGACAAGACTTGCTCCTCCTCAACTTCTGCCATGATTGTGAGGCCTGCCCAGCCACATGGAACTGTAAGTCCAATAAACTTCTTTGTTTTGTAAATTGCCTAGTCTTGGATATGTATTTGTCAGCAGTGTGGAAATGGACTAATAAAATCCTTCAACCTTTCATGCTATCTCTGCAAAATATAGATGAGAAACAGGCTAATTTATAACTGCTGGAATTACACTTTGTAGCCTTCTATTCATTGCCTAAGTGATTTGAGTTCGTTAATATTGCAAATTAATATAACAATATAGATATATATTGTGTATGGACCTGGGATCAGTACAAACTATAATTCTAAATGCACTTTGTATTCAATATGTCCTTGATTAAGAAATTGGTAAATAAATAAATGATAGGGACTGGGGTGGCAAGGATCACACTGACCTCATCTGTACTTGGAGAGCCCAGGTTAAACTAGAAGCAAAGGTGTGGAGTAGGATGAGGAAAAAGCTGGATGTCAGGTGTATGTAGCAGCACAGCACCATTATAGCACAGCTTGCTACCTGGAGTTCCCAGCTATTCATTATTCTTTCCATAGTGATGAGTTTAGGCTCATTCTTCTGAATTCACGTAGTGCCTTTACACACCTCTATAGCACTTTTGTCCTTGTCAGCTTGACCCACTAGGCAGGGTCCTCCCAAGCCATGGCACTTAGTCTTTTTATTCTGTGCCCTGGGCCCCTCGTAGCACCAGGTATGCTATGGAGTTGTGGTCCACACACAGGCCAGAGAGCCAGCTGGGACTGTTGAGCTTGGAAAGTTGGCCTGTGATCTAATTTCTTGATGAGAAACTTAGAAAGTTGCCTTATTCTTGATGTTTTACAAATAATTCTGTATATTATCATTTTGGTGGCTAAAAAGCAGTGCCAACTTTCTTAATGGCATTCTTCTATTGAATAGAACAGGCAATTTAAGTTCCAGGAATGTATATATTTTCTGTGGGACCCAATAAGCCTATTTTTTTTAAATGAAATAATTATAGCCTCTAAGTAATATGCACACACACACACACACACACACACACACACACACACACCTATCTATACATATAATATGTATACATACATATTATTCCTGTATTGGTCTTCATGTCATAGGAGTTTCCTTAGTACTGGACTCCATGATCAGCAAATGCCAAACTTAGGAAAGGTTCAATGCATCAGTGCATAGACACATTTAACCAGCAATGCGTCAGTCTTCCTTAGAGGTAGACCCCATCAGAGAGCCATCACTAGCCTCAGCTGCTTCCTCCTGGCTGATCCCCAAAGAACATTAGGGTATTCAGTGATACCTGCAGGTGCCCACCTCCCAGCAATGGTCTTTAAATGATGGCCTAACAAAAACGGTCAGTGGACATCATGTTATGTGTGCATTTCACCTGCATAAATGCAATCACAGGGGCTGTGGCAACCAAAGAAGTGTGCCACTCAGATCCTCTTTCAAGAGGACCTTTTGTGGAAAGCACAGCTGATGGCAGCTGTTGGACTTTCACATTCAAAGCTGCCAATGTTGTGCTTCACCTGGACTCCTCCTAGCCAACATCTGGTTATGGCATGGGCACTGGGGCCATTCCTTCTCTACCCAACATGGGATTCCACTAACAGGCAGTGTTGTGCTTGCTTGTTGACTCCTTATGGGCTTGGCTGAGATTTTCTTAGAACCTCACTGTAGTCTGAACTTTTCCTGGCCAATTCTTCTTTCTCTCTCTCCTTGCGCAAGTATCCAATCTGTATGATGATTGGAAAGTCTTCTTTACCACTTCTGCTCCTTTTTTCTTTATCTTTCACATGTGTTTTCCTCATTAAATATCTTGTTTATCTAATCGTTTTGGTGCCTACCTCTCAGAGAATCTGAATTGATACAGCAGCTCATCAGAAAAAAAAAACAGAAGTGAAAAAAAAAAAAAAAGATGGGGTGGTGGTGGTGGAGAAAAGCAGCAACTTAATAGTGCCATCTACTAATTAGGAGTATTCACAGAGCATGAGATGCAGGTATCTTGTTCCCTTAGTCAGGTTCTATTTGTTCCTTAAAGCCCTAATTTTAGTCAATAAATATGTACAGAATTTACTCTATGCCAGACATTGTTCTAAATATTTTACTTATAGTGAATGACTTGGTGTTTGCATCATCCATATGATTAGTTACTGTTACCATTTTGCAGATGAGAACACTGAAGCACAGAGAGCTTATGTTAACTTGTCCAGTGCCAAAGAGCTATTAAGTGGCAGAGCTGGGATTTACTGTCTCTGCACTGTTGCTTCTTCCATTAGGACCTCTTTGCTGTGCTGAGACTGCAGTATCTAAAGGTAGGTATTCTTAATAAAATACATTCATTAAACTTTATTCAATTACTTTGCAAGATTCTTATCTAAATACATAAGAATTTCTTTTCAGTAGTGAAAGGAAAACTGACTGCAGTGAATTTGTTGGTCTTCAAGTATGGCAACTTCCTAGAAATTGAGGTTCAGAAAGTTGTCCAGGTCATTTGAAAAAGAACATTGAGTTTATATATCTACATATATATATATATGATTATATATTACATAATCAATATCTATAATTATATAGATTTAATTATATTTATATAGATTATAAGTTAGATATTATAATAAATTATATATAATTATAGATATTAATTATATTATATATTATAAATATATAATTATTATTTATATTTTATATATCAGCTATTTCTAATGACAATCCCAGATTTGCTTCATGCAGGAAAGGTCTTTCAGTGGATTTTTGCAGGGTAAAAGTGAAGAGAGTTGCTGGTATGTTCTAATGTTGGAAATTAGTCAGAAATATATATTCTTCTTTTTTTTTTACCAGCTGGAAAACTCTCTGTTTTCAGAGGACTCATGTGACTCAACAGGACCCACTTGGATAATTTCCATATTTTAAGGTCAACTGTGCCATATAAAAAATCTAATCACAAGACTAGAATCCATGAAGTTCATGGTCAATAAAGCAGGCAATTCAAGTTCTAAGAATATATGTATTTTATGTATAACCCAATAAGGCTATTTTCTTTTAGAATGAAAGAAATATAGCCCTTAAGTAATACACCAAGAATTATTCAATTTAATAAGTTTCCATTCAGAAATATATATTTCTGACTAATTTTCTAACATTATAACATACTGCCAACCCTCTTCACTCTTACCTTGCAAAAATTCACTGAAAGACTGCCTGGATGAAGCAAATCTGGGAAATTGTTATTTCAAACTGATTTTTCCAGAGTGATGGATGACAATTTTTAAGTAGTTACTGTGCTCTAGATAATGTACTAGATAATGAACATGCATCCAATAATTTAAACCTCACAACCACCTGTGGAGTGGTTGCCCATTTGTGAAGGAAGAAACCCAAACTGGATATATTAAATAAATTGTTCAGCCTCGGAGCTTGTAAGCAGCTGAGTCAAATGAAACCAAGCCTTATCAATTAGTCTGTGTTGTTGTTATTTTAAACTGCCTGTGTCAGCTAACTTGGGTTTATCTTTCTAAGCTATCCCCTCACCCCAAATTAGTCTTGCTTTGGTGTACTTTCTTCTTAACCATGGCAAATCACACGCACTTTAAGCCTTTCATGATGTCACAGGGTCTTCTTTATGAATTAAACTACTTTAACGCTAACATTTGTGAGATTATGTGTGATTTTAGATGACTATTCTTGTTACTCATTTTTTTCATTAACCAAATGTTTATAAAATATCTTCTCTTTTAGGCAGATAGATAAAGGCCATTCTAAAACAAGTCCTAAGATTTCCTGCTTATTGTTGTACATCTTTTTTATAACCCCAGGACCATAAATATGGTGAATTATGCTGCTTAATACTGAGTGCCAACTTGATTGGGTTGAAGGATGCAAAGTATTGATCCTGGATGTATCTGTGAGAGTGTTGCCCAAGGCAATTAACATTTGAGTCAGTGGACTGGAAAAGGCAGACCCACTGTCAATCTGTGTGGGTACCATCTAATCAGCTGCCAGAATGACCAGAATAGAAGCAAGCAGAAGAACATGAGATCAGACTGGCTTAGCCTCCCAGCCTACATCTTTCTCCAGTGCTGGATGTTTCCTGTCCTTGAACATCGGACACTGAAGTTCTTCAGCTTTCAGACTCAAGCTGACTTCCTTGCTCCTCAGCTTGAAGATGGCCTATTGTGGGATCTTGTGACTGTGTAAGTTAATACTCCTGAATAAACTCTCCTTTTTAAATACATCTGTCTGGCTGGTGCAGTGGCTCATGCCTGTAATCCCAGCACTTTGGGAGGCCAAGGCAGGTGGATCACTTGAGGTCAGGAGTTCAAGTCCAGCTTTGCCAACATAGCAAAACCACATCTCTACTAAAAATACAAAAATTAGCCAGCCGTTGTGGTGAGCACCTGTAGTTCCAGCTACTCAGGAGGCTGAGGCAAGAAAACTTCTTGAACTTGCGAGGTGGAGGTTGCACCATTGCATTCCAGCCTGGGTAAAGAAGTGAGACTCCGTCTCAATAAAATAAAAATAAAAATAAAATAAATACATTTATCCTATCAGTTCTGTCCCTCTAGAGAACACTGACTAATATAGTGGATTTTGCTCTTGTGATTGGATTTTTTTTATATGGCACAGTTGACATTAAAATATGGAAATTATCCAAGTGGGGCCTATTGAATCAGATGAGTCCTTGAAAACAGAGTTTTCCAGCTGTTAATAGAAGAAGAAGTCAGATGGAAAGCATAAAAAGGCTTTGCCACACCACTGCTAGCTTGAAGATAGTGGGGCCCAGATGGTAAGGAGTGTGGGTTTCCTCCAGGAACCCTTGGCTGACAGTCAGTAAGGAAACGGAGATCTCAGTCTTACAGTATCATGAAGCTGGATTTTGCTAATACTCTGAATGAGCTTGGAAGCAGATTCTTCTCCAGAGCCTCCAGATAAGAAGTTACCTAGTCAACACCTTGATTTCAGCCTTTAGTGCCCTCATCAGATCGTAGACCCTAGCCAAGCTGTGAATGGACTTCTGATCTCTAGGACCCAGGACTAATAAATGGTTACTGTTTGGAGGCACTAAGATTATGGTAATTTGTTATGTTACAATAGAGACAAATATACCCGTTATAGATGATCGTCACAGTTCTTAGTCCTAGGGATATAACCTAGCCTCTGCAATTATAGAGTTTATGTTCTGGGAGAAGGATGGGGTATGAAAGAGATGCATGAAGAAATACCAATAAATAAACACACAGTAAAATATCAGACGGTCTTCAGTGCTGTGAAAAGAATTATAATAGGGTGATATAATTGCGAGTGTCAAGGGGCTCCCTTAGATCAGTTGGTCAAGAGAAGTCTCTTTGAGGCAGTTTTATTTGAAAAGGCTTATGTGACAAGAAGGTTCCAGTCAAGTTCATTTATGGGAGAAGTGCAACCCAGGCAGATGAGGTGCCACGGCAAAGGGCTTCACGTGAAGAAGAACTTGTGATTGATAGACAGAAAGGTGATGTGGCTGGGCCCTAGATGATGGTGCTGGGGCCTGAAGATGTTGGACAGATAGAGACCAGATTTGTTAGGACTTTGTGTACTATGGTAAGGAATATGAATTTTATTCTAAATGTGTTGCACCATTGGAAGACTCTAAATAGATTGTATGATTTGATTTATATTTTCAAGATATTATACAGTGCGGAGACAGAAACATTTCAGTTAGAAATAGAGCAAGACTTTTCTTTCTTTTTCAAAAAATTGAAATACTTTTCTACATGTCCATATGTAGAACATTTTATATTTGAAGTTTTAATGTATTTTTTTATATCAGGGACATTATCCTTTTATACTTTTTCTATCCTCCTTTTACCCTTGTCCTTTTTTATGTTTTCTATGCCCTCTTTTATGTGTTTACTTTTTTATTTTGAAAGAAATCAGAAGGAATTTACAGAGAACAGTATCAAAATATCTGACCAAGAATCAACATTTAGCATACTGACATGTTTGCTCCAAGTTCTTGTGTTTTTTAAAAGAAGGGAATGTTATGTGTTAAAGTCAAATCCATTTTGTCCTTCATCCTTATTCCAATTTTTTTTGAAGAAATTAAATGTGTCATAGATTTTGTGTGTATCCTTCTAGGCCTTTATTGATCTTTTTTTTTTTTACATACATATGTATGTTTTAATTGTTTGGTGGATTTTTAAATTAAAAATGCTATCTTTTACATACTTATTATTTATTTATATAATGTCATTAAATTAAGTTTGTATAAAGGCTATAATAAATGTAAAACTGTTTGCCTAGGGTAATAGGAAAATGGGAACCAGTTGAGAGTCATCTCTGGACATTTAGATGAGCAAAGATGGTGGCTTGGACAAGGGCAATGGTAGTAGTGGTGAAGAAAAATGGACAGATTTGAGATTTGTTTCAGAGGAAGAGTTGACAGTTCTTGCTGATAGGTAGGATGTGGGAGACAAGGGACAGAGAAAAATCCAGATAACTCCTAGATTCTTTTGGCTTGAGCAATTGAGAGGATGAGATTGATGAAAATAGAGAAGATTAAGAAAAGAAGAGGTTGGATCATAGAGAATCAGGAGGCCTATTTTGCCCATATGAAGTTTGAGCTGCCTTTAAGGCATCAAGTGAAGATGTCAAGCTTATAGTTAGATATGTGAGTCTGAGGTTCAGAAGGAAGGTTAAAATTGGAGATAAAAATGTGGGAATGATCAGCAAAAGGGATCATACTTGAGATTACCTAAGGAGAGATTAGAGATACAGCAGAGAAAAAGGATAAGGAGTGAAGTCTAGGGTACTCCAGAATTTAGAGATCAAAGAATGGAACCTGCATAGCAGTATGAGCAAGAATGGCCAATGCATTAGCGGGAAACAGGACAGTGTGTGGGGTGCTGGAAGCCAAGAGAGAGGAGGGAACGAGGTGTGAAATCCAGTCAGTGACTCTACGCAGGAGCTCTTTTACTTTTGATCCCCACCATGAGCCTGTGAAGTAGGGAGTGACAGAATTATTATTTTTATTTGAAGTTAAAGAGCAGCTTTGAGAGATTAAATGACTTTTCCAAGTGGCCTGGCTAATCAGGGGGCCTTCCGAGTGCCTGGTTCCTGATCCCTTTGCCTTTCCAGAGAGCACTGCAGTGACCATGTAACCTGTTGGGTTGTATTACGTTAATGTCTTGGGGCCTGTGGCACACTTAGCATTCTGTGCCTCTATAAAAAATGAATGCTGGGGTTTTATGTGCTTCTGAGCAGTTTTTATGGGTTTCCTGCTTCCTCATTTGTTGTTAGGTTGTCAGCTAGCACTTCCCTTTACCCTTAGTGCTCCTGCTGCAGTGACCCGGGCCTGCTTTCTGTTATTTTAAATTTGTTAAGCACTTTATAATTCACACCTGAATTCCAAATGTGTGGCAGGTACCCAAATTCTTCATAGATGATGCCAAGTGTATATTAGTGGTTTAAATGTTTACAGAATGCTTTGCCCTGTTTAATTGTTAACACAGGGTCATACAACGCGAAACAATGTTAACCTAGGGTTTTGGTATTCTTGCAAAGGTGTTCAGGGTTTGTGGTAAATAATAGTGCTACATTTTCTCTATTCTGTCGTGGCAAATAAATTTGTTCCAAGATCAACCTGTAGCTAGTCCTGGAAAGGCACTCTGATTCAAGTGGAAAAGTACTCTGATTTATTCCTTGGAAAACAATCGCTGGGATCTAACGGCCTCAATCCCATGATTGAGAATCTTTGCTTTTGGTTTTCTCTGTCTGGCTTAAGGAACACTCAGTTACTGAGATGCAATAAAGAAAAAAATATTAAGGAAAATTAGAGTAAAGCACCAGGAAAAAAAAAATAAAACATTTGTAAGATAGGGATAAGTTTACGTGTACAATGACTTGGTTGATTTGGTAGTGTATAATGAAATTAAAGTCATTTCTTCTAAGTGTAAACTACAGCCAAGCTTATAAGTAAACTCAATGAACCAGGATTGTTTTTTAATAAGAAATTTTAAGATACCAATTTGGACGTTTAGTTCACAAAAATTTAATTCTCTTTATAAATGAAAATGACACTTATCATCTCTCTTTTTAGTTAAACTATCTTTATGATTTTTCTGCCTATTGTAGAAGGCTGCTGGATTATAATATTAAAGAAAAAAATACCTTAAAATTGTATAATATTTGAGGACCTACTTCCTCCTTCTGTGGAGAAGTGTGTATTCCATTGCATGGAGAACAAGAGAGCAAGGAAAGAGACTCACATTCATATTCATGGGAGGTGGGGTCATCTGAAGGATTTGAAGATGAGTGTATTAGTTTTCCAGGGTTGTGTAACAAAGTACCACAGAGTGAGAAACTAAAACAATAGAAATGTATGGTCTTGTAATTCTGGAGGCTAAAAGTCTGAGATCAAAGTGTGGAGAGAATTGGTTCCTTCTGAAGACTGTGAGGGAAGGTCTATTCCAGGGCTGTCCTGTTGACCATGTCTTCATATTATCTTTCTTCTATGCATGTCTCTGTGTCCAAATCTCCTCTTCTTATAAGGACACCAGTCATATTTTATTGGGATCACCCATATAACCTTGTTTCAGGTTGATTACTTTTTAAAGGCCCTACTCCACATAAGGTCACATTCTGAAGTACTGGGGTTAGGACTTTAACATAT